TACCCACACATTTTCCTAATGGACTGACGGCATTATGATTGGATGAGGTAGCCTGCAGTCTCTGAAGCTATGAGCTGCTTTATGAATGTGTTGGTTTATAAATCATGAACAGTGATTCAACTGTGTCTTTACATTTCCTGTGTTTTTCTTTCATTCATTTAACATCCTATTGTAAACCAGAGAGTTCTGGATCTAAAATCTAATTGGCTGAGACACTCAAAGCTGTTGTACACATAAGTAATAGAATATGAGAGGGAGTGATGTTATTCTCGATAACTTGAGATGACCTTGAGTGTTGATTTTATATAACAATTCTGCAAAAAAAAGAGAAAAGTAAAGCAGAGAAGCCTTGAACATTGTATCAAGCGTACTTTCATATGGGTAATTCCCGCTGCTAAAAATGAGTAGCCATTATGTATAGAGCCACTAACTGTAGCAATATCAGGTTTCAGTATTTGCCAGATTAACCTGAATATCATTTTGTTCCATCCAGTCTGTAAAGCACTTCCCAGTCTATCTTGTTTGCTGACTTGTATTATCCATCATAGCTGCCAATGAGAAAAGCTTGATTAGTTTCAATGACAGGTTCAGAATTTGATGTAGACCTGCTGTAACACTCTTCATAATAACATAACATAATAAATAAGCGGAACACTTCTAAACCAATCAGACTGTTTGGTCAGAACTAACTGTAATATGCACACATATAACCACACACTTCAACTGAGGTATATTAAAGTGCCCACATCATTAAAAAACAAAAAACAAGTTTTCATCACTTTTTTTAATAAAAGAATTTGCTGTAGTAATACATTTACATACAATTATATACAAAATTTTGGTCATTTTTTTATATTCTAAGTAAAAATAATTTTGTGCATCCTCTACAGGGAACTTAATTATGTTATTTTTCTGCACATTTTAAAAATGTGCCATGACTTTTTGTCACATTTGTTTTATTTATTCAAAAACATTTTATTTTTCCTAATATGTTATATTCAACAAATAAACAATAATTGTGTATTAAAATGTATAGCAGTGTGTTCTCTGTATAGGATGTGTATTTTTTTCACTTAGAAAGTCAACAAAACATGTCATTTGACCAGGGACATCCAAAAATGCATAAGACTGTATATCCACTTCTTCAGCATATAGTCGCTTGCCCCTACCCATTCAAATTGAAATTATAAAGAGTCTATCAGCCTGGACTGCTTTTTAAATGAAGCACAATACAAAGCATCCAACCAGGACAGGTCTCATTTATATACATCAATTTTAAAGGCACGGTACCAAAAGACAGCCCATTTTAGTTTATAGGATAAGGACACATAATTATGAGTGTTTCTGGCATACTTACACAAATACACAATATGGATAAAAGTATTGGGACACACCTCCTAATTATTGAGTTCAGGTGTTTAAGCCACATCCATTGCTAACAGGTGGATCAAATTAAGCACATAGCTTTGCAGTTACGATAGACAAACACTGGCAGTAGAATGGGTCGTACTGATGAGCTCAGTGACTTTAAACATGACACTGTCATAGGATGCCAGCTCTGCCACAAGTCAGTTTTTCTGTCCTGCTAGATCTGCTCCTGTCAACTGTAAGTGCTATTATTGTGAAATGGAAGCACCTAGGAGCAACAACAGCTCAGCCACGAAGCAGTAGACCATGCAAACTCACAGAGTGGGGCCACCGAGTACTGAAGTGCACAGTGCCTTTCCTCTGTCGAATCACTCACTAACGAGTTCCAAATTGTCTCTGGGAGAAACATCAGCAAAAGAACTGCCTGTTAGGAGCTTCACAAAATGGGTTTCCATGGCTGAGCAGCTATACACAAGCCTAAGATCAAAATGCACAATGCCAGGAATTGGGGGGAATGGTGTAAAGCATGTCGCTACTGGGCTCTGGATCAGTGGAAACGCATTCTGTGGAGTGACGAATCACGCTTCTCTACCTGGCAGTCTGATGGATGAGTCTGTGTTTGGCGAACGCCAGGAGAACATTTCTTGCCTGACTGCATTGTGCCAACTGTAAAGTTTGGTGGAAGAGGGATAATGCTATGGGGGTGTTTTTCAGGGGTTGGTCTGCGCTCCTTAGTTCCAGTAAAGGGAAATCTTAATGCTTCAGCATACCAAAACATTTTGGACAATTGTGTGCTTCTAATTTTGTGGGAACAGTTTGGGGAAGGCCCTTTTTGTTCCAGTGTTCATGAGTTTGTGTGGAAGAGCTTAACTGGCCTACACAGAGCCCTGACCTCAACCCCACTGAACACCTTCGGGATGAACTAGAATGGAGATTGCGAGCCAGGCCCTCTCGTCCAACATCAGTGTCTGATCTCACAAATGCTCTTCTGAATGAATTGGCACAGACGCACTCCAAGATCTTGTAGAAAACCTTCATAGAACAGTGGAAGCAGTTATAGCTGCAAAAGGGAGACTAACTTCATATTAATGCCTATGGATTTAGGATGGGAGGTCATAAAAGCTCCTGTAGGTGTAATGTATAGGTGGTGTCCCAATACTTTTGTCCATATGGTGTCTCCTAAGTGGACCTCAAGGAAAATACACAAAACAGAAGAAAAATACTTTTTAATGCAGCAAGTCATAAAGCTGTACTTTGCTCAGCAACCATGGTGTCCTGTAAACTAACTCTGCTTGGTAAAATAACTGTTTATTGCAATTATTATGAATAGTACATTGAACATGTTTTGTATCATGTTGTACACTGTCACTGTTTTATAAAAGCAATAAGTCACTCGACAAAATCCATTAACCTGTAAAACTTGGCCTATCATGACACTGCTTTTATAATCAGAGCACAGTAGCAGAAATTACAGTAGTAGTAGAAGTGACAGTATCTTGTAGCAAAAGTCATGCAAGACCAAAGTTTATTACTGGCCTTGACTGACCATATCACTTTATGATACAACATTTATTATGCAGTTTTTGTGACATCATAAACCATTTCATACCCAAACACAGCACATGCAGATTCTAACACAATCCAATCAAACTCTACAGTACGTGTCTCTAACACACCCTAAATGCCAGGGAACTTTCTTATCTTGTGACAGGGCACTGTTAAGCAGAATTTTGCTGGAATAACTGCTGTGCTGAAAACGGTCCACCACCCAGTCAACATCTGGTCAGTGGCGGTTCTACTGTGGTCCCATTGGGGTAGAGGGGGATTAATAACTGTGCTAAAACATATGGGCTACAGTTAGTCATGGTACACCTACAAAGCACATGTGTGTAACTGATAAAACGCCCAGTGAATGTAGATCCAAGGTAAGCAGCCTCATTGCATTTCTTTGAGCTCACTTTATGCATATTCATAAACAAGCCCAATGCCTCTGAACAATTTTGCATCTATGTATATGCAGATCATAACGAGTGCATAAATTTTGAGTATGAAACAGCACTATTCTTGGGGGTTTTGTTTCAGGCAACTGATGCAAGTTGTTTGCATAGTTCAGAAACTTATTGTGTAAGTATAAAAGGTTATAATGTTTAAAAATAGTACTTTGCTATTCAAATACACATTTTACTTCCCTTGCCTGAGGCAATGCTGCTTTAACCTTTCTCAGTTCAGTGACTTCAGATCATTAATTATGCAGGCTGCCTTTTCATTCATATTTATGCAAATTGTTCACAAAGTTTTATTCATCTTTTATCCACTGTTTATTCATCTTCTAGAACTAAGAGCAAGGGCAGTCACTAAAAAAGAAATGGTTTACTGTGGACGTTTGCTACATCATGGTATTAGGTGACATTTCTTTAAAGTTGTCCTTCTTCTTGATAACTGCTTGCGCAATAATACAGCCTAACCATAATTTATAACTCTTTTACAACTTTTTACATCTACAAAAGTATTAATAGCTCTTTTTCATGTACTTGTTTCAAAATGTACATGTTTCAAACTTTCAGTTTTGTTGTGGATAAATATATAAAATAATTCTAATTTGCTAGAATGAAATTATTAGGGTTATATTGATATAGGGACTGTGATCCAATGCTGATAAGCAATATTTTTAAGGTACATATCAGCAGAAGCTTATGTCAACACATAAACATTTATAAAAGGTATACAGTAGTACATCTACCTGGATTAGCATTACAGAGAAATCTAAAATTTATTTTCAAAATGCAGTAAAATGAATGCAGGCATTTTAACACAGTAGCCCAGCATCACATCAACATTCTGATCTATTGGAATACAATAAATATGTCATCAAATATCTGTTTAAATATTGTTCAAGTCTAAACATCTGTCTGATGTCGATCTTATTTTTCTAAGCAATCATGAACCAATACTGTTATGATCACGATATCATCATACATCCCTAATAACTGAATATCCAGAATGCCTTGTATTTCAAGTCGTGATCAAACCGTGAGGCCAATAACATGAAAAGACATACTGTGAAAAAATTACATTAAATTATCAATATTTATCATTTAACAGCTTCTTTTTGTTTTTAGCAGGAGCAAAATATCTGTATCTAGTTTATGATATTTAAACTTATCATTGTATATAAATAACAACGATTTTAAATACAAGCGATTCTAAACTATTTAAGGCCAGTGTAAACAAACAAACAAACAAACAAACAAATAAATTAGTATTTCACCTATACCGTTTAAATATGGTTTCCATCAAGTTGGGGACATCTGGGGACATTCTGACCTCACAAAGAGCTAAATACATGGCTGCACACACACAGAAGCCAAACACACAGAAGCCACACACACACACACACACACACACTCCCCAAATATGGACGAGGCGGCCCTGCCCTGAAGCCTGAAGGGGCGGGAAAGATAAGAGCCCTCAAACTCCTGCCCTTCAACAAGGCGCTCGAGCTGAGCGTAATCAGGCCGTTCGGTCCGCGCGCACACCGACAAGCCTCCACAGATAGGAAACGAAAACGTCAAAACTCACCAGCTCATGTCGCTCCACACAAGACCAACGACGAAGGAAAAACAGAGCACTGGATGATACTGATTCATCACGCCTGGGCCAGCCGGACATCTGAGGAGAGAAGCGCTTGGAAGCCGCTGGTTAATGAGCTGGGCTGTGGGGCTGAAGCTGAGGAGTTAGTTCACCTCCACATCGTCAAACCTGCTCACCGAAATCTCCAGCTACACGTGGCGCTTATTTGCCGTTTTTAAATGATGCTAACACAAAGTTTGTAACAGGCGACCATCTTTCACACCGTTTAACCCACGGCTACAAGACTTTGTGTCATCAACTCTGTTTGAGCTTTAATATCGTGCTGTATGGCGGGAAGCGCGCGACGTAAATTCCATCTCTGAGGAAATTTACAAACTGGCTTTTAGCCTTTAGCACAGCCACCGGTTCCAGCTGCGAACAGCGTTCAGACTCGAGCTCAGATGGACCGCTTTCTCCACAGAAAACAGACTCACTCGGCTGTGGAAGGCAATCTGAACGTTTACTCACTGAACGGGATCTCGAGCCTGCGCCGCTGAGTTCCACCGAGGAGCCGTTAAAAGTGACTTTTGGTGTTTGTCTTTTGCCTCGCGCGTTCAGGAGAGAGCGGCTCGCCTCGCGCGCCCCTTTAAATGCGCGCTGTCTCGCGGAGGCTCGCGGCGGAGCGGCACCATGAGCGCGAGGGTCTGGCTGCTCGCGGCGCTGGCGGCGTGCGCGCTCTGCGGTACAACGGAGGTAAGATGAGGTTCACGAGCGAATAAAACTTAACAATCTGTGTTTGACAGTCTCGCGGGCGGAGCGCACGTGCCTGCGTTTTCAACGGTCTGAGCGTCAGTTTACGTTACCTTTATTGCGTATACATCACCGCATGTACTGTATGTCGTGTTCATTTGTCAGTCTCTTCCTTCAAACTGAGGCAAGTAGAATACAAGTGTGCAGAAAACTTCAATGCAAGTGCTGCAGAGCTATGTTCCATTTCAGAAATAGTGTAGAGCAGAGGTGGACGATATTGCAAAAATATCGCGATACTTTAAGACGTTTCACGATAATACTTATCGCGATATGGACATAAAATTGGAAAGTTCTGTTTGAGCAGGACTAATTGTGCTCTCTTTGTAATGAAATATGCGATTTGTCAATGTTCTTTAAGTACGGATTATATCCACCACATGTTGTGCATATTGTGAATTTATTACAATAACAGTAACATATATTGTATAGGCCAAGTACAGACAGTGGAACCTCTAGCACAAGGCAAAAAGGTACAGTAAGTGCAATTCAACATTATACAGTGAGCTTCAGTGAGATGTTATAAAGACATCAGAAAACTTTAAATATAAAAAAAACTAACTTCATTCACTAAAGTCTTACTCTCCTCAAATTAGCAGCAGCTGGGAATCATTGCGACTGCTGTGTGGTCAGAACTCCACATTCATCTGTATGGTGCCACATAAAAGGCTGCAACACTCTAGCGTGTGTGTGTGTGCATGTGCGTGTGTGCATGTGTGTGTGTGTGTGTGTGTGTGTGTGCATGTGTGTGCGTGTGTGTGTGTATGTGTGTGTCTAATTCCTTGTGGAGACCAAAGGTCCCAGAGGAAAACATAAGCATTTTGACGTTGTGGGGAAATTTGATTGGTCCTCATAAGAAGCTTTTTTTTCTTTTTAACTGAAAGATATCAAAGTTAAAGGATAGATCAACTAATCCACTAATCTTTCTAAATCTCTGCATAAGTATGTCATTAACAGACTGGCAAAGTCATTCAAAGGAGTTGTATTTGAAATGCTCTGTTCTAGAGAAATGTACCGGTTCAGAATTGTTCAGAGTGGTCATGATAGGAACCAAACTCCTAAAGAGTTTAATGATCCTGAAAGCTACCTCACAGAAAGTTATTATATGAAATGGTTGCCAATATACAGCTTGATGCCTGAGACATTGTTTTACAATAGTTCTTAAGTAGGTTTTCGGCAGAACAAATCATAAAACAGTGTGCTTCATCACGCACATGAGTGAGTTTACATGCACTTAATAATCTGATAACTGCTGAAAATCTGATTTTGTCAGTAATCCGATCTACACGTTTACATGCACTTGAGTAATCAGATAAAGGCAGTAATTGGATTTCTGCTTTGCAACCAGCCAATAAACTTACAGAAGAAGATGTGACGTGAAGGTAACGTGAACTCAAACTTCATACCACGGCTTTTTTAAAAAAAAAAAACATTATACCTGAAAATATGAGTATACATTATCTACAAAATAAACACTATTTACATCTCTTGTTTCGTCAAGCATGTATTTGGTTTCATCGTTGCTCCAAAAGTGTTTTGCTGCCATCTCACAGCAACACTGCTTGCTTATTTCCAGTCTGTTTTAGCACATGTGCACTGAGCAGTCCGGGTAAGAGTATACATGCGCTGAGAAATCCGATTATCAAGCTAAAATCCAGCACTCTTTATCGGATTTCTTAATCGCATTACCAGATCGGAGTATGGCGTTTACATGAACATTTGAAAAATCAGATAACTGCAGAAATCTGATTATGAATCGGTGGAATACCTGCGTTAAGGTTAGTGCTGGGTTAGATGTAGCATAGCAGGATTTTGCTACAGTCATATATAATACAATAGAAATAGCCCACAAAGACAGGAATGCAAACCTCTGTGTGTGTGTGTGTGTGTGTTTGCGAGTGTGGGTGTGTGGGGGTTGGGAGCAATTTCATACATTGATGTTACTCTGACAGCAGTTCCCTTCTACAGTGACAATATAAGGATGGCCATTGTTTCAGCCTGATTGTCCAGAAGGAAAAGTCAGTTTATTTAGAGTATCCTCTTAATTGTTTGGTTGTTTTACAGCAGTTTTTAAAATGAGTCATCATCCAACTCTGCATGAACAGCCCATATCTGCCCAACAGGTGAACGTTGGAATGAAAGTGGTTACATTAGCAGGGGAAATGCTAATGCTGCCAGGAAACACCAATCATCCTGCTTAAACCTTTGACTCTTCTTTTGACTAATTAGTTTTATTGCTTCTGGATTTGGTGCTGTATAAAATTTAGCATCCACTGTGGACTCCTTCCTGTGGGTGTATGTGGTTATAGGTTTTTTAGTAGGTTGCTTTTTTGCACTGTGAATGGCAGGTAGCTTCAGGGGATGAGTATTTTTACGTCTTACTTCTACAAATGCACGTGCATCTTTAGGAAGTCCCCCTAGTAAGCGCATCATTTTTCATCTTTTTATGGTGTGTGATTTGGATGGAAAAAAATTCAGAGGATAGCAAAATGAGGCATTTCAGTGGATGAAATTAAATGCATACTACAGTAAGTAGGCAAGTAGCCTCATGTGTATGGCTCATGTTTAATTCATTCTTAATCTAAGTGTGGAGTAGAGGCATGCTTAAACCTTAAAGGGGGAATTCCACCGTAAAAAATTCAATCTTTTTTATTGTCTGTTAGCTGATGAGAAAATAGCATAACTGCTAGAAGACACCCAGTTTGTGTCATGATTCATTATAAGCGAAAATTTTCTAGTTCTCTGAGAAGGTCTTTTTTCAAAAAGCTGTTAGCATTTTTTGTACTGTATTTTGTACTGTATTTTGGTTTGGGTAGGCTTTGAGTTGGGTTAAGAGAGTTTTTCAGAACAAATCATATGTCTTTATTTGTCAACGTCACATGCACAGGTTCATAAAGAAGGTCCGGCTCAGTGTTTAACCCATTAAAATCCCAGGCTTATTACATTACTAAGACTTATTATTTAGTAGCTACAGGGACTTCAATGCAAACTGACTGAGCTATTCTTAGGTATAGAAGTGTGTAATAAAACTTTGGGCCCGTCTGTGGGCCCAGTCCATTTAAGAGGTTCAGTCTCAAATACAAAATTAACATTGTACTGATGAAGATAGGTAGATGAGTCACTTATATTCTCAGAAGACTTGTCTTTCACCAAATATTTTGACTATGTTCTCTTTGAATACTCTTTGAACATGCTCACAATCTTCTGATTTATCCGCTCGGGGAAAGGGGCCAAAACGTAACCAACATTACAAAAACTCCTTTCCACCAGAGAGGTCTTCAAATCCCACACACACACACACACACACACACACACACATCATCTAAACTGCTTATCCTTCTGGGTTGGGGGGGGGGCGTGGGGGTGTGGTGGTGGTGCTGGAGCCTATCCCAGCTGTCATTAGGCAGAAGGCTTGTTTATTCATTTAACAATGTAAATTATCTTCTCACTGGAATTTTTTTTAAATCAGATGAAATGGAAATCGGATATTTTAAAATTAGAAGCAATATACTTGGGCATGGAAGTATAGCACATATGTGGTAAACATGTATTTTATCCATATCGTGCAGCCTTAACTAGAATTTTTGAATTTACCTTAACCCCTTAACAATACAGGTTTATTTCATACAAAGGCTTATTATTCAGTAGCTACAGGGATTTCAATGCATAATAATGGAGCTATTCGTAGATTATAGAAGTGCGTAATAAAACTTTGGGCCTGGCTTGTTAAGGGGTTAATTCCCCCCTAAACATTTAGAAACACATGTTTAGAATAATAATTAGCTCCTTTTAGGGACAGTTCATCGGGGTGCACTCTAATATTTAACGAAAAACTTTAAAACATCGCAATGGGACTTTTTTTTACTCCGTATTGTTCAGCACTAATGTACGCGTGCCTGTGCATGCTTGTGTCAGCAGATCTACGTATCATTATCATCTGTCATTTTTCTCCAGCCCTCTTCTCTCAACATTGCATTCCATTCCTTCTCTCCAATCCCATAGAGTGCTGCATCTGCTCATTACATTTATTTCAGCTGAAATGTAATCAGAATCAACTGCACATTGACTCTTATTCTATATAGTTTTGACCGCAGCTATACACATTTTAATTTCTGCATTCACCACATGTGTATGTATGTGCCAGATAAAGTATTCTGCTTTGTTGTCTTTTCTTTTTTGTAGTATTTGTATGTGTATTTATGCAGTGCGTTCTCTTGAGTATGTGCAGAGTCTCATAAATGTTTATGCCCTGAATGTGTGTGTTGTTCTGCAACAGCAAAGTGTTTATGTCATATTTTCCTGCTCAGACACTGGCAACCTCCCAGTGCACAAAGGTCTACACCATAATGAGTGCCAAGCATCGCATTCAGTCAGGAAATCTCTTTGGCAATATTTAAATGAACTTGTTATCTGAGAATTATTAGTCTTGTTTTACTTTACTGTTAGAATGTAATTAGGTCATTACATATTTAATTACATAATTAGTCAGACAGTGAATTCAGTTTCTTTCTATGTCAACAGGTTTACGCCTGCTTTGTGTCAAGAAATGACAAAAACGTGGCAAAAAATGTAAAGGGTGTTTTTTCCTGTTTGTACAGTAACTTTTTTCAGATTAAAATCATAATGAAATGTCTCTTATTCTACTGACAACCACAAATGTGGTATCGATTGAAAGTTTAGATTCCACACATCTGATAGAATTTCAGAATTTCAGACAGTTAATATCGTATTACATCATGCTTTTGTTATTGCTGTAGATAAGTGTGACCTCTTGAGGTTAATATTCCAAACCAGATTGCATCACTGAGTGTATGTCTGGTCAGTTTTGGCCTTTTTTGTTTGCAGAATTTGAAAAGGCCAGCTACTGTTTACATTGTGCCAACATTTAATGGACCAACAGAAATGGTCTAAAATTACTTAGAGTAAAATCTTGTTGCATTAACTTACATTGAAAGTTATTAATTTTTTTCCTTCTCCTGCAAAATTACTGTTTTGGAAATCAAATGTTTTATCCAACAGCAAGGATATATACCACCTACTGAGCACAAAAGCTGGGGGAGTGTGTACATTCTCATTTTGGGCAGGATCATAAGCTGAGCATTGGCAGCAACATCACAATATGATAAATATCACAAGTGTCATGATACAATCTGACACAGCACAAGCATGATGTAGAAGTTTGCAAATCGTCACAATGGTGCCTAGACATATGACTCGTCAAAAAAAAGGGTCGCGTTTTCTTCTATCTACTATCCAAAAGTCTGATCTCCATTTTTTTTATTTCATTTGAACACAGCAGCTGCTCTTACACTGTGTGTTTAACTTCATGATGAATGGACCAACAGAAATGCTCCAAATTTACTTAAAATGAAATCTTCCTACATTAAGCTGCATTAAAAGTTAAGAATGGTTTTACCTTTTCCTGAAAGGTCCTTGTATCTATAACCAAAAGCTGAGTGTGAACAGGCCTAGAAGGCTCATATGTTTTAGTGACAACAACAATTACATGAGCATTCAGATCATTATAAAGACCTAAAATGAGTTGGAATAATCACAAATTACTATTTTTACTCTGCTTTCTACCATGTTTATACTTTTCTGAAATAATAGTTTAAGCACAGGACAACATCTCAGTGATTTAGAAACATCCTTCCAGCTGCCTTGTTCATCTCTCTTTCTCTCTCTCTCTCTCTCTCCCACTTCCTCCCTGCCCCCTTTCCTGTCCTGTGTCCCCGGTAAATGCTGCCATATGAGAGATAGAGAGCAGTGGTCAGCCAGTGGCCTCTGTCTGGACACGGCCTATGAACAGAGCCCTTGTACTACTACAAGCATAACTGCTATTGTGAGACAAACCAGCTTCCTCCCTTGATCTGCACACACTCACATGCTTATGTGGACAACAAAAAGACACACACACACAAACATACACACACACACACACACACATGAGAACTACAAACATATGCTTTGAACCTTTAATTACATGATTGAATATATAATGGGATAGAGATGTACATAACAAATTATATTTACATTTGACTGACATTTGTATGCCAAATGTCTTCACCTGGGACCTTTTTTCAGTTTGTATTGATGTGACACAACGAAAGAAAATGTGGCAAAATGTAAAGACGTGTTTAAAGATATTGTCTTTATTATTGTGTAAAAACACGTTGATAACTTAAATCAGATTTAAATTTGGGAACAGTATCTTTTTTGTATTTACAAACAGATATGATGACAATAGTAGATTGTCCACTTCTTCAGGAGAGGCGTCCTGAGTCCTTGTCGAATTCTCTTTAAAACGCTTGCAGTTGATTCATCTGCTTGGGAAAGGGGTCTAAAGCACAACAATGTTACAAAAAGTTATTCTGCAAGTTATGTGCATTTAGACATTTCCACCAGAGAGGTCGCCGTATCCCCAAATTCTACATAGTGTAGCTCTAATTAAAATAAGTGCTCACTCTCTCTCTTCTTCTATCTCTCTGTCTTAGAGGGATCCTCTCCCTGCGCCTCTGGCTGAACTGGTGAAGAGTGGCTCTATCTCCTCCTCAGAAGAACTGCAGCTACTGCTGCTTTCTGACTCCGTAGGTAAATCTGCCTCCATCCAGACTCACCATGTCACTAAGTCATATCCCACATCACACCATAGCATTCACATCCACAATTACCCCCTGCTACTGCTCTTCAATAAATGTAACACATTTTGTTGAATGAATGAAATGAAACCCATGTTCTTTTGCTGAAATTGCCTCCAGCCAACATAATTGACTGTTTCAGTAGAGGCTTGCTGGTTGTTGCAAAGGCTTTTTGCAAATGTAGTGTCCTACGATGGTGTCACATTTAGGGTCACTAACCTAACTTTTCTCTATTGAGATTACATTGGTCTTGTGCAGTAGGCACAGCTTGAATTACCAGATCTGCTAAATCGTAGGGGTATAGTACATCACACAGCATACACAAGATAACACTAGGGTATTTATACCAAACAGTGTGTTTTACTATCTCACATGATTCCACTTAAACCTCTCTCTGATGTTTATAGCCCATGTGGAAAAATCTACTCTCTTATACTTAATGTCACTACCAGAGTCCACAAAATGTGACTTTGTAATGGAATAAAGTGGTAGCTGGTTGGTTGTGATCAGTCTGTTAAGTCCACCCTAAACCTTTATGACCACCCAGATGAGGTGTCCCTAAATAAGCTAAGAGAACTCCTTGCTAAGCGTTTAGTAGACACAGTGTAGTGAACATGTATTCTAATAAAGATATATTGTCTAATAAATGTCTTAGCAAAGGTGGCTACAGGATAAATTTGAATAGTGGTAGACAGAGCATGCTCCACTCTGTAGTTGTGTTATGGTAAGATAGCCATGCACTGGGGGGACATGGATCTTTTTTCATCCCATTTTTTTAAACGTCTCTAAGCACAGTTAGACCTGTGGTGTATGCATTTGGGGTTCAACATACTATTCCTGTATGTTTTGTCTAAGCTATTAAATACAGTACTATTGTTATGTAATCACTGTGTGTATAGTATAGACAGAATTACACACATTGTTATGTTTTTGTGCATTCTCACACACTGTCTGCTGTGTTTCATTGACTGATAAATCTCACACTCTTTCAAATTAAATAGTACAGTCTCATGAGTTGCAGACGGTCAGAACTGTTGCAAGAGGCAAATTGCCAGAGGATAGTCCATATTGTGGCTTTGGGTTTTTTTTTATGGCCAGTTTGTTTAGTCAGCTACCTAAACAACACACACACACACACACATACACACACACACACACACATAGACAGACAGTGATACAATGAAACAATAGAAGTCATAATAATAAATATTGACT